GTTCAAATAGAGGAGGGGAAAACAAGCACACCCACTAAAGAAAAAAGTCCAACGGCAACTCCATCTGGCCCCGCTACTCCTGCTGTAGTGTCAAATGACACCCCTGACTTAGCTGACATGACTATTTCCTCTTCTCCTACTGCAACTTCCGAGTCAGATGTGCTTGCTGTTAACACCACTGCAACAATCGCAAATGGTACAGATGTAGATGGCAAGCCTTCTGACCCTGAAGTTCAGCTTATTAGCACAGAACGATGCATCTCTATCTCCCCGACAGCTTTTATCGAACCCCCCGCCCTTGTCCCTCAAACATCTTCTGAGTTTGTTACGCCCAGATCCTCTGCCACTTCAGACTCGACAACAGTAACCTCCATTACCATCTTGGAAACTGTTTCTAGTCATCTCAGTGAAAGCGAAACAAATACATCAGTTAAACCGACAAGTCCAGTGTCAAATGGTATTGTTTCATGTGGTGAAGTGACCGTTTCTGTCATTTCCACTGTAGAAGTGTCTACTCCAGCATTAATCCAACCTGCAGATACCAAATCAGATTTGGCTACCAGTTCGCTTAATATAGCGAGTGACGATTTCACTGCAAGCGCTTCAATAGGCACTAAAAGGACATCTGTGGCCCCGAGCCCAACTCCTCCTAAATCTGATATCTCCATTATCAGCTCCTCCACCCTTCCTCCTGCCAGCAACACCTCCATTACCACCACAACATCTACTGACTGCACAGACTCTTCTCCCTCCATTGTTCCGTCAACCTCATCCAGTGAAACCAACTCCATCGTCTCCACCACTACCAATAACGCTGCTCGAACGACTGCAGATGCAATTAGCTCCCCACTCACGACTGACCCACTTTCCTCAAAGAAAACCAGCTCCACACTCACATCAGTTATCACCTGCCTCCCTGCTTCTGAAGACTCCAGTATTACCGGGCACACTTTGACCAGTCCAGCACTTGCCCATGATAGCCCAAGGCAAGATTTACCAACCAATCTTGACGAAAGATCGAGTTCTACTGTAAAAGGTGCAGGTAAGGATAACTTTAAGGAAAACCAGAGGTGTCAAAACTTTTTCCACCAACTGCTAGAATTAAAAAAAAAACAAAAAAAACAATGGACCACTTTGAAAGTTCTTTGACTTTAAAGACCCTGTAAAGTGACTTCAGAGATTTGTTTCTGAATAAATTATACATGTTAGAAGATAATTGCTGAAACCATGCAAAGACCGACAACTATTCAGTACAGTACTCTATTGTAGAGATACAGCGTTAATCCGTTCACCACTTAAGTTTTCCAGATGTGTTGGGTGTGGCTATAACGGTCCCCTGTGACCATCATCCCTCCTGCACAATATAACAATTCATCTGTTCGAGTTATTATTACTGAGCGTCAAGCATGTTAGCTTGTGAACTAGCTGGTGGCTAGCGGCTCTTGTTGCGGCATAAACAGCCCTGCGTCAACCTGGTTTGATAAATTTCAGCCACCGAAGCTCTAAGTACAGTAGATAGATTTTTGTTTCTCAAACACGTAGGGTTGCGTAGGTATTAGAAAGATGCTGGATGTCGTAGTATGCATTTTCCAGGTTGCCGTAGTGCTATTTGATTGACAGCTGAGCAGGGCGTGATTGCAGCACATTCAGTGGACCCGCCCACAGTGTTTGAGTATCGAGACTTGACTTGGTTTTTCACTATTTTGAAGTCCTTCGTGAGGATAAGTGTCTTAGATAATGGATCGATAAATAGTTGTGTAGTAGATAGTTTGTGTCTTTGCATATCTATAAAAGGTCTATTTAAAACCAGTTTGTAATCATTATTAGTCGCAGCACTGTCACTTATATAGCGCTTCTTTAGTTTGGGTACTCCAAGCGCTTTACACTACCTCATTCACCTACAATTGACACAGCACTAAGCTCAACTGGGGGTTCAGTATTTTGCTCAAGGACACTTGGACAGGGTTGCAATCAAACCAGCAACCTCTGGGTTGGGAAACGACTGCTCGACCACCGAGCAATGCCACCCAATTGTACCCATTATTTTTAAAAGAATATTGCCAGTCATGTTAATGTTATTTTTACAATAGACTCAGGGCCGCTAAAAAATGTACAGTTGTCTGCAAATGACTCCCAACCCATTGCTTGGACACCCTTGTTCATGCATTATTTTTCATTACTTTTCTAAGTATAATTCGCACAATTTCTCTTCCATTCTCAGATGTGGAGCTCGAGGTGGTTCAAAAGAGCAAACAAGCTGAGGAAAGTGAAAGCAAGAAAGTCATGGCTGGCGGCAAAGAGAGTGAGCATTGTGAGGAGAAATCAGCTCAAGACAACAACGAAGCAACAATGAAAAAAGCCCAAGAAGCAAATGTGAAAGTTGAAGACGTTACAGTGGCAACAATAGAAGGAGAGGCTGAACCTGCACTGGAGAATGAGCCCCCAAACCAAGAAGAATCAAAGAAATAGAAAATATATACAATGGTACAGTATTGCTGAATTTGGGACCAAATACTGTGACACAGGCAGGTTAGGTCACAGTAAATAAATGGTTAAATGATCCATGGCACTTCCTATGGGACCACCACACTATAGCAGCACACCACACACCCGGTTGGGCCACTGGACCAAAGAACTGAGATCCATGGTGTGATGTTATCGACAATTCCAGCAGTGTCTTTTGTCCTTTTTTTAACTTGTGTTTGAATTTCACATTGCACGTGTGATTATGTACCATAAGACAAGTACTGTGTTTTGAAGACACCATGTTTACAATAGATGGATAAGAGCAAATAGATATGACTATTAAATGGAATACTGAATTGAATTACTGGGATTTTTTTTCTTCAATTGATATGTTTGTTTGTATGTTGAAGATACTTATGTGTAAATCATGAAATTACGCGGAGCGAGACAGACCACGAGATGTTGTTCAAAGTCCTGGAACTTCTCATTTAAAAATCTAGAATCAGCTTGAGTCAGACTTTACGAAACGTATTCAATGTGATAAAGCTTATTGGCGAGCTGTACTGTATTCATCGTGGAAAACAGGATACCCCATATTATTTCACACAAGGAGCCTCGGGTAACACATAATGCAATAAGACACATCCAAAATGGCATTTCATTTAATAATAATAATAATATTACATTTATAAGCGCCTTTCAAAACACTCAAGGACACTTTACAATCAAAAAGAGAACAATATAACCGCAGATAAAATTATAAATAATAAAAGGAGAGATAAATTGAATTAATTAATTAATTAATAATTAATTTAGAATGTATATCTTACTTTATCTGGTTTTAGTTTATGATAGTACAGCACATTACAAACTTTTCTTGGAAGTCATTGGCGACCTTCTGAACAAAACAGCTGGGGAGAGAAAACGAAACAATTCATATAATGTCTCTGTAGGCCCAAAGAAAAGTCCCTGATGACTACTTGACTACATACTGACTGCCTCAGTATTGAACATTCCTAGCTACAGTGGACAGCACTTCCCCTAGGCTTATGTCATGGATGCCAGAGAGAATAAAGCAGCCTGTGTTCAATGTGCAGTGAAGACATACTGTATTGTACATTAAAGCGGGTCTGCGGTTAGAGGCCTTGGGTGATAAAAACAAGTAGATGAATGATTAAATGATGAACAACTACCAGACACTTAACAAAGAAACAGTAATACTGTTCAGAGTCAGTTAACGGCTTCTAAGGGCGCACATAAAGTCTCTTTACAAATTCAAAAGGTTTTAGAAATGCAAATCAATAGGCAAATCTGTGGATATTATGATAAAATGAGGCACCATTATTTGCACAGAACACACTAAGATTTCCCTGGCTCCATAAATTTCTTTTGCCATTTTTGCCAACTTAATCATGTAGTTTAGTGGAGTACAATGAAACATCTGACGGTGATCTGGTACATTGTAATTACAGCGCTGTCATAATTAACTCTCACTCACAGTGGAGAGTTGTTTTAGAAAGTTCAATGTGACTAAAAACTTTGACTACAGAGTATATAGAACAGATCGAATAAACATACAACATCACTTGCTTTAGTTAGCGGTGGTACGGTGCAAAAAGTTGTTAGCACATCCACAATTCTGGGGTCATGGGTTTGAAACCGGGGTCGGCCTTCCTGTGCGGAGTCTGCATGTTCTCACATTCCAAAAAATTACATGTTATGTTGACTGAATCGTGAATCAGAGCGCAGCTTACAGTATATTTAAAAGACTAAGAAGCCCTTCTGCTGTTGCTCTTTTTATGCATCAGTATTTTGCCAATGAAACAAAGTACTGTAATTATATAATATAATATAATATAATATAATATAATATAATTTGTCCTTAGGTGTAGATATGAGTGTGAGTACTTTATGTGCTCTGAGATGATTGGCTGGGGTGTAGCTCCCTCGTATCCACTGTCAACTGGGATAGGCTCCAGCTCACCAATGACCCTAATAAGGATAGCAGCATAGAAAATGGATGGATGGGCTTTTCTGTATTATTTTTTTAATTGTCATGAGTCATTGTGGACATGAGCAACAACATCACAAAATGCGGGAGCACACTGAACTCACAGTGAATGGTATTTATGTATCCTTTCATGTGATTGATGTTGATCACAAAATTTGGCATTCACTGCAAAAGAATAGAATCAGGGTTTCGTCATTTTTCCCAAATGGGTTGCCCAGAAGTTTTTTCCTTGTCTGGACGTGGTGGTGGAAGTGGTGAATTGTTGAGGATTTACTGTAGGCCAGGATGTGCCTTCAAAAAGACTGTGAACTGTGGACTTTTAAGATTGGTAGGTAATTGCTATTTGAATTGCTTTTTAAAACGTTATGACTCAATAATTAATTGATAGAGACTGTCATTGTTAAATCAAATCACCTTGGACAAGCGTCTTGGAAATTGTGATCTGACCAACTTGATGATTCACTCCAACCAGCAGGTGTCGCTGGCGGCAACGCCATTATGAACAGAACGTCGTGTTTCACCCGGAAGTGGAGCGTCGACGGAAACGACGGTGGGCTAATTATTGAGGACTGTCCATTGTAGTCCTCTGTATTTTTTACATAGCTATTTTATGCATTGCGCCTATTCCGAAAAAGTCTCTGGATTTATCGCATTCGCAGGGTAGTTAAATCTCTACGTGCACACGTAAGATATGTCGGTTGCGCCTCCTAGTCGCTCGAACGCAGGTTGGCCGCGCGGTGGTAGCGCTCAGTTTGGAAGCAAATACATGCCCGGCCCGGCTAAGCCTCTCACCCTGGAGAGGACCATCAACTTGTGAGTTCATCTATTTATCCATAAATAACCTCAAGTTTTTGCAAAATGTGTTTCTAACCTTTAATTTAATGAGGATCCAGCATAGCCACGCCGTGTTACTAATGGGAATGTGCATGATTACGGTACTCTCTTCTATAGCGTAATATAAGAATTGTCAGTAGTTCTGAATGGGAGTATATGGGATTAAGTATCATTCATGCAAAAAGAGCTGAATAACAGCCACTTCTCCCTGCCAACAAAAACGAAGAAGGTCCTTAGTTAACAACAAGCCCAAAAATTAAAAATTAAAATTAACTCAAATGATTGGAGAACATTTTGACATTTTATGTTGATGATTATTTTGATGCGCACAAATCTTTATTTCTAATTATTTTGTCTTCCTTTTTTTGTGATTTATTTGTATTCCAAATATTTCCACCACTACAAGTGGAGTTCCAAAGTTTAATAAATCGGATACTCGGAGCATATTACAAATAGCTCCAGAGATACCACTACAAATGGAGTTCCAAAGTTTAATATATCAGATACTCATAGCACAGCCCCCATTTAAAAGAAAAATTCATGAATTCATTCAGTGAGAAATAGTGGCCTTAGTCATTTTAGAATGTTTTGAGAAACCGGAAGGAAAACAATCCCAACAAATTCCACAAACAAGAAAAGTTCACATACCTGATTTCAATCTCTGGAGATGCAGACTCTGGATGACTGAGAATCTTCATAGACAAAGAAAAAAAACATGATTTATGAAGCAATATACATGTTTCTGAATAAATGCAGTTTTACAGAAGTGCAAATGAGAACCTAGTAATTTTGTCGAATGAAAGCAGTTCTTGCTGACATGGTTCATTTCTTGCAGATAGTAACTTTGGTTCCTAGGCAATAGAGACATCCAGTGTCGATCCCAAGCCTGGATAAATGGGAGAGATGTTTCAGGAAGGGCAAGCCGGCATAAAATGGAACACTACTACATTTGTGAAGACAAAATGCTGGATACCTATGATGGAACACGTATATGTCTCCAGGTACCCTCTCACCAACTATACATTTGGGACCAAGGAGCCTTTGTATGAGAAGGACAGCTCAGTAGCGGCTAGGTTCCAGCGGATGCGCGAGGAATTTGACAAGATGGGAATGAGGAGGACAGTGGAAGGTGTACTTATCGTCCACGAGCATAGGCTGCCACACGTCTTACTCCTGCAACTTGGCACAACTTTCTTCAAACTGTGAGGATTTCATGTTATCTGGAACCATCAGATGTGTCTTTCTGAGTCCATGTCTGATGCTTTGTTTCTCTCCTTTAGGCCTGGTGGAGAGTTGAGTCCTGGGGAAGATGAAGTAGAAGGTCTGAAACGTCTAATGACTGAGGTAGGGGTCCGCAGAATATGCGGTAGACTGTATAAATTATATAAAGTTGGCCTCGGGTGTACATTTGGACTCTGCAGAGTAAAAGCAGTAACTTGGGATGCATCAATACCAGTATCATCACTCAAAAAATTATTTAATACTACGCACAGATACCTTATCATCCAGCCTAACATATACCGTATTTTCCACATTTGAGTTGAGATGGTGAAGGTCTCTCTTATTGAACTTTTCTCTATGCAGTAATTGCCGGGTGTATATTGTTATTTGTTTGCATCTTAGATTCTCGGACGGCAGGATGGCGTAAAGCAGGACTGGGTGATTGATGATTGTATTGGCAACTGGTGGCGCCCCAACTTTGAGCCTCCACAGGTTTGTCCTTCAAACTGGAATCGTCACAAGATGTTTATTTGTCACAGTCACACTAAGTAGCTATCATATGCAAAATGTGATGTTTGTTACATTTCTTCTCGTAGCATTGTTTCTTTTTCAAGCAGATGAGTTTCATCTATACTCTCTATATTTGTGTCTTGCAGTATCCTTACATTCCAGCTCACATTACCAAACCTAAGGAGCATAAGAAACTTTTCCTGGTTCAACTGCAGGAAAAAGGTTGGTATATATCGTCGACATGCGAAGCTGAATAAATGACAAACGGAATGTGAGTGAGATGTGTGTGGTTCGTTGTGTTTCCAGCACTGTTTGCCGTCCCCAAAAATTATAAACTGGTGGCAGCCCCATTGTTTGAGCTGTATGACAACGCCCCTGGTTATGGACCCATCATTTCCAGTCTACCGCAGCTCCTGAGCAGGTAATGTTCTTTTTATTGTGTTTACTGATAATCCAAATCGAGCCAGTAATTATATTACACGTCACTGAAGGAATATATTCCATATCCTCTCAATCTGTAGCTTTAGTGGGCTGTTTGTTTCATGTAACCATGCATGACTGATGGGAGTGAGAGTTGGAAAGTTGTCTGAATATTTCTTGAAATTAGTCTTAAGTTTTTTTTCTTTTTTTTTCTTTCACAGGTTCAATTTCATCTACAACTAAGTGAAAACAATTTGGCTGTCTCTGTGAGTGCAGCCCAGTCGAAGTGAAACTTGAAGATCATGTGGAGAAAGCAGAGAAATTATACTTCTCACCTTGGGCTCCACTTTCACATGAGAGAAATGTGTCCTGTGTTGAATATACTGAGAGTCCACGGGGATGTTTAGCTACACTTTTTGTCAAGAAAAAAAAATCTTTTTTTCTTTTAATCTTGTTGAACTATTGTTTTGTTTTCTTTTTTTGTAGAAGGTACATTTATATTGCATTATGTTCAGCTTTTAAACCTTCTCGGAAAAGGCTTGATTAAACCAACAATTACTTTGTTTACTGTTATTTTAAACAACGTTATTTTTTCTTTTTTAATAAAAAACGACATTTAATAGTGTGTATACATATGTTTTTTTCATGAAGTGTGCAGGAGCAATTGGTTATTTGCTTCCACTTGGATGGTGATTTTAAACATTGCATAGCATATATTAGTGGTCCTACCTGAGATCATCAAAATAATGCGGCAGAATATGATATGCATTGCGAATTTGGCAGTGTGAGCTGATGCTCTGTGAAAGTGTATGGAGCGGTAGCCTCGCAGAGGCCAGTGGGCGAATGTGCCATGCTCACGTTTCATACTTAGGTCAATACAATGTGTCCGTAGGGCTCTGTTTGAATCCAACTAAGTTTCCTAGATGGCCCGGAGTTGTAGGATTCCACCTGGTGGTCATTTTTATCTCTATTTTATTAAAATGATTGAAAGCAAGTTCCATAACCATGCAGAAATGATATGCTATCATTTGGATTTGGTCAGGATTTAGCTCAACACTGCATTTAAAAAAATGTTTCGCGACCACAGCGGGGATATCTATCTATCTATCTATCTATCTATCTATCTATCTATCTATCTATCTATCTGTCTATCTGTCTGTCTGTCTGTCTGTCTGTCTGTCTGTCTGTCTGTCTGTCTGTCTGTCTGTCTGTCTGTCTGTCTGTCTGTCTGTCTGTCTGTCTGCCTGTCAGTCAGTCAAATTTACAAACATTGGATTGCATAAAGAGTTTAGTAAAATCTCCAGCCTGTTAGATGGGTGACGTGAGACGACGTTTCAAAGATAGGCGGGGGGGGGGGTGAACTGAAACCGTCATATTAATGCGACTGGATGACTGCTTCCGTGGCGTCACGGTAATGGAGACATTTTAATGCGTTGTGTTCACTCAGTCACGAGCCAAACTCTACCATGGCGTCTAAAAGACAACAGGGCGAATGTATGAAGTCAAACAAGAAGAAAAGGAAAGTAAATAACTGTGAAGAAACAGCAGAACTTTGTCGAGTCGTTAGAGACGAGAACGTGAAGAGGGCGGTGAAGGAGGCATGGAGCCTTAAGTCTCACTACACCCATGGTCCGTAAAGTCAACACAGACCTAGACACAAACGACTTAGCTTCTAGTTAGCTCGCTGATTGTAGCAATGCTAACACTGACAGCAAAGAACATTCACGTAGTTTGACAATTGCTATGCATGTATTTATTAAACTAAAACGTCTGTAAAAAAAAAAACAGCTGCACTGCATTTTGGGGGGATGGATGGATGGAGAATTTAAGATATTTCATCTTGGTGTTCGTCAATGTTTGTCTCCTGTTCACATGGATTTCATCTATTCATGGCTGCTTTCATTTCTTTCCACCATATTATTTAGTCACATTGAAATCACGCAGACATTTCCTGCTTTATCAATTGTAAATTTACAAAGATTCTTTTCCCAAGACAGAGTTACTTACACGTGAATACTAACTCATACATTTTATATCTATCGATCTATGAATCTATTTATATCATGGATACTTGATATAATACCCTGTGTTTGCAGTTGTGAGGAAAATTTGTTTTATATTAATCAAATGTTATCCAGTAAGAAAGAAAACAAACTTTTTGTGAACATAGCATAAGTTTCAAATAATAGCCTAGTAGTTTTTGAGTAACAGCTTGTCATTATTGACATTATAGCATCCAATTGCATGTCAGTTAAGAATTGTCATCCATGTTTACCTTAAAGTATCTTCGCACGACTGACCAGGCTCCTACTCCACCTGCCCGGGAGACATATGTCACCAATACAGATCCTATGTACAAGTGAATTGTATGAATTACTTTTAAGGTAAAAATGTAGGCCAAAATTTACTTAATTTAATGCGGCACTGGCAGTCAGACAAAATTACGTCCTACGTGTGTGTGATATTTCAATGTTGAATATTGATTACATTTTCAGCAGACAATTTAAAAATCCACTGTCTTTAAAAATGTTGCAGGTGATTTGGAATTGGACTGCGATCCTTTCCCTCACTGCGTCATCAAAAACTTCATCAGTAGTGAGAATTTCCTGGAGAATCTACAGACAGAACTGCTCATGCTCAACTTTCAGGCAAAGTCCAATGATCTCTACAAGTTTAAACAGGTGAGCCTCAAACTGATCCGTCCATGACTTTTCCAGCAGGTGGGTCTGCTGTGTGAGCATTTATTTATTTTTTTCCACCTGCAGTCAGATGACTTGAGAAAGCAAACCAAACCACACATAGCAGGCCTGAGGTGAGTTTTTCATGGCGTATTTGTGATCATAGCCGATAACACCTTAAGGACACCGATTGACAAGCCTACATCCTGTTTTCCTCCTCACTTTCCAAAATTGTTCAACAGTCGCGACAGCCCTACCTGAGTTTGAACTGTCAAGTAGGTGAACATCAGAAAAACTTAAGTCATTGGAGACGTTGCACGGTTCATTAGTGCCACCGGAGGGAGCCAGAGATTACATTTGATACCCAGATAGAATAATGGGGCATTTTTTTATTCGAAAGGGATAAATCCCAAAATTGGCAATCATATTTTACAGCACATTACTGTGTCCAAAATGTATTTATTTAAGCTTAATTGATCAATAAACACCAAATCGCGTTTAATGCAGGAGGATGGTTAGCTTTTCTCACATCTGATGTCCATACCAGCCATGAGAAACAAGATAAGCAATGTATAACTTGATGTAAATATGTGTTTATGAAATACAACTCCCGATGGTATTCGCCCTGGTGAATCCAAACCATGATGAAACGCAAAATGAAGGCTTCCGCTTGGGGTCATTTATTATTTATGCTGCAACAAAATGTCATGGCAGGTTGGAACAGTGAATGAATTTGCCTCGATGTTGAGACCTCCAGCGGCTCAAATTTACACCCATCAACTGCTTGTTTGACATTCTCATGTACAAAGCGAGTGTGTATGAAAATAGACACATGGGATAAAAAAAAAAAAAAGTTGATGCAGCCTTGTTTAAATGCTTGGTTTATGTGATGTGAAAAAACAAGACTATTAAAAATCATCTCAAAAAAATTTCCACTATTAATGTGACCATTTGGGCATGTGAGTAGGGGTGTGTAGACTTTTTATATCCATTGTTATTTGAAATTGTTTTTTGTCTAATTCCAGATCAGCGCTGTTTAGTCAGTTCCGGCTATGGCTTGAAGAGGTTTTAGATGTGAAACTGGAGCCCACTGTGGATATTTCTTGTGCCAAATATGAATACACAGGTGAGCATTTAACCAGAATTAACAATATTTTTAGTCTTTGTGTCATTGATTTGATGTGTATGTCTTTCCTAACTGTTTGTAGATATTCTTTTGTGTCACGATGATGAACTGGAGGGGAGGCGTGTTGCGTTCATTCTTTATCTTGTCCCTTCGTGGCTGAGCAGTGATGGGGGTTCCCTCGATCTTTACACAACAGATGGTGAGTTTTTGTCTTAGTTTGGCAAGGGGTGGCATACGGTGGCTGGAAAGTGCAAAATAAAATAACAAACTGACACAAAACAAATGTATATTCCAGAAAAGCAAAGGAACAAAAACCAAAACAAATTTACATTTAGGAACACAAAAAAGAAAAGATGATACAAATGTCCCTCCCAGAAAACAAATGGAATAAAAGCCAAAAACCAATTCACATTTTTTAAAAAATGCATAAAAGCCGAAGGAAATTTACATTCACGAAAACAAATGACAAAACAAAGGTACATTTCACAAAACAAACAAAAGCTCCCAAAAAATTTGCACTTCAGAAAATAAATGAACAAAAGCCACAACAAATTACAATTCACATAACCCAGAAAAGGGAATGTACCCTAACGCGGCCTGACAGGAAGAGACAGGAAATGATTGCGGAACTGAGTGCAACATTTTGAGTTGCTGTCTCGAGAATCTTTTTGGTGGCTAACAAGTAAGCCACTTGATGCGGTTTTGTATATCATGTGATCGCTCGTGCGAGTGTTTGAATGGCACTGAACAGAGAGAAGGCCAAAACGAGCAGGGAAAATCTCAAGAGATGGATGCTGAACATACTAAGGACACTTAACTGTACAGCATAACTGCAGTTATTTGACGCTATATTGGTTGACGGCACCTGACCTTCAGACTCTTTCAAATGGAAATTTGTTCCTTTCAGAAGAAAAACCTTGCCCATCATAGGAAAATCATGCCCATCAATTCACTCACTAAAGAAGCCCACAGTTAAAAAAAAAAAAAAA